AATCCTTTGCTGAAATGGTTAATTTTGAAAAAATTGAAATTTTTAGTTTTATAAAATCTACCTGATACATCCATTTCTCTCGAAATTTTAGACATATATAGTTTTTATTTTCGTTCTATGTTTTAATATTTTATTATTATTGTTATTATTTTAATTTTAGACTAATGAAATGAATTCTTAGACTAAAAAAAGACATTGAGCACTAGCAACACAGGCTATCGGCTCACAATTAATATTTTATTTTGTAGGGATGTTAAGGACTAGTTTTTAATATTTTATTTATTTATTTAGGAGTTTAATATCTGAAATATATATAATAGAAGTATACTATAATGTAAATAGGCGCCTTGTAGAATAATTGATGTGTGATAGCGAAATTTGGATGTCAAGGAAGTATGTCAAATATTTATTTTTAAACAAATAGAATTCATAAATATATACATATAGTAACTAAATTAGGTAAGGTTAAATATAATAAACTACAACGTAATCTCTTTAATAATATGAAATATCTTAACTAAAATAGCTGAATTAGATAAAATACAATTCTTGAAACGATGAAAAGAAAACAAATTATATTTGCTACATATACTGTTTGGTTTTTTTTCGTACCTACACACTTAGGCGTATACCATAGCGCATATAATTGTATATGCTTCTGCTTTGGAAATGTTTGAGAGAACGCGACATCTTATCAGAAAGCTATCAATAGGATATGTGACAATACAAATAATGAAAATCAAAGAGCAAGCTGTCAATTGGATACTAATTAACAGCGTTATTATTTTTATTGATAAAATCAAGTTACAAGTGCCTGAGATGAACGGAAAATTTCTATATTTAGTTATCTCTGGTAGTACTCAATAATTTGGTTACGCAAGGTTGTTAGCGATTATGTAATGTTTTTGAAGACTGAACGGCATATTAAAAAAAACTGACGACAGGAAAAGATGACGCAATCCAGTGTACAATTTAAGGGTAAATGTTTAGTTTACTATTTATCCAGACGGATCATAAATAAATTTTATGGCAAGGTTGGAAAAATAAGAGATATTATTGTCCCAAAATTGGAACTATGAGACAATACAAGTGTGATATTTAAATAAATATGCATAAACTTGGAAAACTCCTTAAAATAACTTAAGGAACAAACACAAGTTAATTCTCTCTCTCATTCAGTCTTAATAAAAATTCGGCGAGTTACATTGCTAGCATAAAGAAAATCCAGATCGCGGAGCAATAAAAATAATAGAAATTTAGATTGATATTTTTGAAGCATTAAACATTCAAACACTTCCTTACAGCACTTCACTTTCAATTTTATATGTATTGAAATTTTCGTTTTCGAATTTGTCATAGGAATATCTGTTTTCTTAATGGGATTTAAGTAATGAACATACTGGAATCTGGAGAAATCTTGTAAGCATGAAAAGCAGCCCTTCATAGTAGACCTTACCGAAGGATATGTTAATGAGTTTCACATTTGCTAAAGGGTGGAAATATAGCTTGTCCACATAACATTCGTCGACCGACTAATACACTACCCTGCCAATTTCCAGACGAACTAACGGCCCTATTAGAGAAGAGATTGAAAGACATAATTCCAAATTAAAATTTCACGTCGGAAAAAAACGGAGCATACTGGTGACGGATAGATGGGTGTTCCAAGTGCCCAAAATAAAAATGGATGGGTACTGCATTCAATTTAGTTCTAATTGTAGATACCTGGGAGTGCGATATGACGACAATAGGAAAGTAATATTTGCGAAGAAAGTTAAGAATGTTTCGAATAGACCGTTGTCAACCGGATCCCTTCTATGCAAAATTATCACAAACATGAATGAGCCAAAAAAGGCGAGGCGAAAACTTATACGCAGCGTAGCCAACGCGTACATGGTATGTGCCGCACCGATTCGGGCAGAGAAAGTGCTACAAAGTAAACATATTCTGCGAAAGCTTATGCCATTTCAACTTACGAGCAGATAACACATGTGGCCTATGCTAAAGCGTTAACAGCGATGCGCAACACGTTGTTTTCGTCTGTCCATCTTTGGAAATAGGATTTTCAGGTCTCTTGGATTAGAATTACTTCAGGTAACCCACTATCAATCGTGTTAACGAATTTCGAAAGATGGAATAAATACGCTAGTGTCTTACAAGACGCGCTTCGATATAAGGCCATACGAAGGCAATATGCGAACTCTTAATCTCAGCAGAACGGGGGAGAATGATAAAATGAGTATCAAGAAACAATAAGCGTCCATCTCGAAATAGTGCGAAAGTAGTTACGGAATAGCTTTGATGTAGAGCGAATAGTTAGTAGTGCACAGCCACTGAGTCCACTAAAAAAAATACGCTTTGCATTAACACAAGCAAAACTAGGGCGTTATTTTTCGACCGGATTTCCCACTTAAACATTATAAGAGCTGACTATATGATTCATCTTGTGGACGCAATACAGTGTAATGCAATAACCCTTGGTCGTATTACACGTTTTGTTAATTATATTAAACTAACAGACGACATTTTCTGCCTTCTAAAATTTTTGTCCACAAGCAATGTTGATCAAGCATTCATTAAAAAATTGTTAATTTATTCATAACTTCGCTACAATACTATTGATAAGAGTTTGTCATGTCAACGTGCTTTTCAAATCTTCAATTTTCCAGAAAGGATTAGAATTTCTCAATGTGTCAGCAGATCCGTTATGTGTAATTCAGTGTTACTATTAAGAAAAGAAAATTGGTTGAAGGAATAATTATTGTAATGCTTGTCCTGTGTTGACCCGCGTAGAGTAGACTTTTGATGTCTTTTTTAGGAAGCTGCTTGTATGTTCAACCTTCCTTACGATTAGTTGAATGCCTTTGGTCGGGTATCGTCACTTTTAATGCAGGATTAAGTTAAATGATATCAGCTACATTAAAAACATTTCAGTTGCTTTGTGCAACAATTTCTGTAATATGACGTTTTAGCTTAGTAACCTTGTTTCATTTCCTCTTTCTAAAAAAATGAAGTATTGTTAAGTCTCGTAGGAGAACGAGTTTAGTGGTGTGATTTGTTTTGACCCCATTTTTGCCGGTTTTTGGTTGGTCTCAATTTTCGGTAAGAGAGATGGAAAATGGCGAACGGATGGCTGGACGTTTTAATTGTGAAGGAGAAAAATTGAGGTGAAACCAAAAAAAATAATGGTTCAATTAATTAAGAGCTTTGAATATTTAGTTTTCGGCAAATCATTTAGACGGCCGTTTTGTTATTTACGTAATAAATTTATACTTGAGCAGAAGAAAAGAAATTAAGACACCCTAATGGTTACCGCCAGAAGAAGCATGTAACAATTGATTTATTCAATTGTCATAGAAAAAAAGCTGATGAAAACTTTTTCCGTTATATAACAAAGATCGTTATTTTAGTTATTTTTTTTTTTTTTTTTGTGAAATGAGAAGAAAAGACAAAAAAGAGTTAATTGAATTGTGCGGAGTTGATGAACAGTAAAAAAATTTTGGTTTAACTAAGATTATGTTAAAAAAAAGAGGGGAAACCATTGCATTTAATTTACACCTAAAATATACATTATCTTTGATCGACAAACACAACGATATTCTCTACTTGCTTGCTGTTTTTGTGAAGTGTGCTGCAATCTATAATAACAACAGCTATAATGTGTAAAAACAGCGGCTGCAATATATAACAACGCTATAATCATTGCATGTATCTGCGTTTTAAGTGGATGACTTTATTTATTTATTTTTTTTTAATAAATTAAATATTGTATTGCATAAATTGCATTGTAAAAATAAATGAAATATTACCCAAGCAAAGAACATGCAAGTGGTGGCCATCTATATTGAGAGAAAACTTATCTATACTTAATAATTTAATTTAACTTGTATGAATGAAATGAGCAGCATTTTAATATATAGGAGAGAAGGGTAAGTTAAAGGGCCTTTGGGACGCAACTTCGAAGTCACCTATAAAAATCATAAGCCGAAGGACACGAATAAGTGGATAGGTAATGAAAGGTTCCGGGCTTAGAGTATGCCCGTTCGGTAAGTTTGGTCCACCCGCGTCTTCGTTAAAGCGAGCTATTCTTTTAGGTGTATATGTCTGAGGAGTGTCCGGGAGCCAAATGTAACCCCTCCACCAACATCTGACGAACTAGCTACCTGAGCAAAGGCACATACATCGGTTCCTATCTTCATAAAGGGACGTTAGTACCATCTAGCACAACAAATTTAAAAGGATAACACGAAGGGAATAGAATCGTTCATATTTGTTAAACAAATTATGATAATGATTTTGAATGTACTAATATTTTCGTTTTTCAAGTGCAATTTTAGATATGGTGGTCAATTAATATACATTCGATCACAACAACTTTTCTTTAATCGGGCGCAGAGCTCGAAGTATTCTACGTTGTTGTTAACAGTTATTTTACACATAAATCGTGCCTGACACAATGCATTTGTACTGAACTTCCTTTCTGGAAAATTTAGTGACTTCCACTTCCAAGGCTTTTATTGACTGCCTTCTTTTCTTGATGAGATTGGTTTTTAGAATATTTTATGTTCTTACCAAATTTATAAATTACTGCTCCCTGTACATTATTTCCATAAGATGGCAAACCCTAGTAGAGTGCAAAAGGACTGCTTCTTTGATGTATTGAATTTCGAAAATTCTTACATGTTTCAAATATGAAGAACATTTTAAAGAGAAGGCAAAACGTTAAGGCGTATGATATCTGTGAGTAGTTTGGCTATGGACATAAACCAAATAAATAAATGATTTGTGGGAAATACTCAGGGCATTCATTGTATCAAAAGTGCGCGCAACAGAGAAACTGAAACTGATTTTCCAATTTACTATTTACTTGTACAAGTTACAAGCTGATATTACATGTTACAGTTTCCAATCTTAGCAAACAAGAGCAACATGCTTTGAAATTTACAGTTTTTTCTACCTCGGACTTGTTGGTAAGCTTTTGAGTTAGTAAAAAAACCTTATTTTATGACAGGCTTTTATAAGTATGCAAGTAGTTTTATTTCCATTTTCGTAACCATATATCCGTTAACTCAAATTTAAATTGAAGCAGCAGTGTCGAAAATCCATCGACGAAGATCGGCAACATCAGCATAGACACCAGGATAGTTTGGAAAAGCGCAGCCATAACCCCAAGACACAATACCGACCAATCGGCCTCCAGAAACTAGAGGCCCACCAGAATCACCTTGGCACGAGTCTTTACCTTCAGTATAAGCGCAAATCATTGTAGGCCTTATTTCAGATCCGTATCCATAAGATGAGGAGGCGCATTTTTCTCGGCTGACAATATCTACGTTAACAGTTTGCAGAGTGACAGGTAGAGAACCGCCGCCAGACTGTAGCGTTCCCCATCCTGTAACGGAAGCTTCGGCTCCGTCAGCGGGGGCTTTCTTTGCTAATTCAATGTTTTTAATGCTGGAGCTGTACGTAACAGAAGAAGCTAAACGGATGACAGCAACGTCATTCATCATAAGATTGGAACTATATCCATCGTGAATTTTAAAATCTGCTACGTCCAATAAAATGCCACCGTCATTCCAAGTGGTAGAGCCTGCGCGTACTTTAATTTGGGAGGATATTGCTCCTTGTAAGCAATGGGCAGCAGTGACTATGTGATTCTTGTCGTAGAAAGAACCACCACAAAAGTGAGAGCCGCTTCTTTGCAGAGAAACTTGCCAAGGAGATTTCTCAATGGTGGTAGGTTTGCCCCCAACAATACGACCATCTAATTGCGGTAGCATGCCCTTGGGCATGGTAGCTGCAAAAACGCAGGCCAACAAAGAAAACAGAACAACGAATCTAAACATTATTGCAAAAGTGTACCAAGGTGAACTGATGTATACTCCATTTCAATTTGCTATTTATACAAAACTGCTGTGCTTTGTAAAAATATTTATGGCTGCATCGAACAAATCATATCGGTAGATATATATATAAAAGAAATAATCTTAAAAGCCTACGTTGTAAATAGAGAAAACACTTCGAACAGCTGTAAATTTGTTCAATCGCGCGCAAACTCTGCACAATCTAGAAATATAAATAAACATCTAAACATAAATAGTACCTTTAAAGCGATCCATTAACCGCAATCACACTATTTGCTTCTTATTGCCGAAAAGTAAAGTAGATCGCTGTAATGAAGCAGCTGCTAACTATTCCTTTTGCCTATGTTCAGAATCAAATCGGATTAATAAGGTCTTGCAAGTGTTTGAAGAGTAAAAAAGTAAGAACGTTATATTAAATACCACCGTTCTACCTATTTTCGCCATAAAATACCAAAAGATACATCTTTTCATCGCTAAGGCTACAAAACCCTTATATGGTTATAGGGTTCAAAAAAATTAACCAATGCAATCAAAAGCTGCAGCGACTAGTCTTATATGCCTAACCACTAATCGGTTTTAACTTTCACCATAAAAATTTGACATTATTGTCGTATGAAGGCTTATATTTCGTATGAAAGTTTGTGGTCCCATTCTGCCTAAATTTTCACGTATACATTGGTATATGACGACACTATTTTTCAATGAATTTTTTGAGAAATGTAAAAAAAGGAAATCTTTTTCGTATAAGAACATTTTTAAAATTTGGTTTCCTATGGAAAGTAATTGTGTGACTAGACAACTATAGATTGTCTGTTAATTTATCAATCGTAAATGCATGACTTAAATAATTTTCAGGGCATTGCGTTCAGTTCGACAGGTACTACATATTGCTTTAAAATTTCTTTTCTAACTTTTGCAGGTATTAAAAAAAATTTTCGCCTTTTCTAGGTTGCCTAAGTTTTTTGTTTATTTTTGGTTTGCTTATGAATCACTGCCACTGTCAACTCTGGCTCTCTAATTGATTGGGAAATATACGAGCAAATTACCATTTACTACTTTAATGCTTCTGACTGTAGCATTTCTATAACAAAGAATGTCAATGGAAATATTTCATGCACTCGATATACCGAAAGCAGTCGCTGATACAGCCGAATATAGGCGTTTAAAGTTATTTTCGTATTATTGAAAGCTATCAAAACTTTCTGAGATCTTACATATTTTACCAAAACTGAAAAGTTGACACATATATGTCAATTTAAAGGCATCGTTGCATAAAGTGTTAATGATTGTTGTTGAGGTAAATTATAGAAAGTTTCTCTATGCTTTTCTTTAATTTTAAGATTTATGTCCACTTAACAATAAAAATAATATTTATGATGGACTAAAGTTCTTTTACTTGAGGTGTTTTATTTGCAAAGTTTCATTTACTAACTTTCATTGCCAAAGTATGTTATGAACATGTATATATGCTGATATCTGCTTTAGTGAGGCCAATAAAAACTGACGCAGTGATTTAAGGTGGTGTTTACTAGCAAATATGCTTTAGCAAATGGTTTAAAGTAAATTAAGTTCGGCATACCGTTGACCGGTACTTACGAGCATTCAACCGGCGCTCAAGGTACGACTGATACTTGACCTTAGTAAGTTTAACAATGTGACGTGACTTAACAACTTTGTTTGTTCGCTCCTTCTTACGATAAGCTAGAGCTTGATGCAGATATTGTTTTGGTTTTGTGTTTGAGACATTGTTGCAATAACTGTGAAAAAGAACTGGTTCGAACATAACAACAAAAGTCGTTCATATCTCAATGTCTGCGCTATACTCAACAAAATAAAATGATTGGAAATGGAATTCGAAATCTGTTGTATTCTGTAATGCATGTATGCACAATTCGCTTAGCCGCAAAAATAATATATTATATTTTTCGTATAACAAGAGTATGTGTTAGAAATATATATATATGGCTGAGAAAGTTGTTGACATTGCTAGTTTACTTTGTTCGTTTTAACGAAATGTGGAAGCTAATCTTTCTGCCGTTCTTTATTGTGCAGGTCTTCGCTGGCCCTGCTCCAAAAGGCATGCAACCCCATTTGGATGGCCGTATTGTCGGTGGGCAAATAACAAGCATTACCAATTTTCCTTGGCAAGTATCTATACAACGTTCTGGGTCACATTTCTGCGGCGGTTCTGTGTATAATAAAGATACGATCATTACCGCTGCTCATTGCATACGAGGAGTAGGTATTTCCACGCTTAAAGTGCGTGCTGGCTCTTCGAAATGGTATGAGGGGGGTGTGCTGGTAGACCCTACCGATTTTAAAATTCACGAAAGTTACAATGCTGAGACTATGATGAACGATATTGCCGTTATTCAATTAAAATTTTCTTTGCCTCTTGGAACTACCATTAAAAGTATTGCTTTAGCCAAAAAAGATCCTGCTGATGGAGTTACTGCTGTGGTTTCAGGCTGGGGCACTAATATTTACGGCTCACCCGACATTTCTGCTACGTTGCAATATGTTGACGTTTACATTGTTAGTCGTGAAACTTGTGCTTCCTCTTCTTACGCTTATGGTGATGATATTAAGCCAAGCATGATCTGTGCACATGCCAGTGGTAAGGACCCTTGCCAGGGCGATTCTGGTGGTCCTTTAGTTTCTGGGGGACTTTTGGTTGGCATAGTTTCATGGGGATATGGGTGTGCAGTACCTGGTTATCCAGGTGTTTACGTTAACGTTGCTGATTTCAATTCCTGGATTGATGCAGCAGCTTCTAATCCCTAATATTTCTTTATTCCACGAATAAAAGCTTGCGCTAATTTACGCATTTTGTAATACACCTTTGGAGAATTATTTAATTATAAAAGTCACTTAGTTATTTATCACATATTTAAGTTATGCTTACATATTCTCGGATATACATGGATATTTGTATTGACCTAGATAATCTACATTGCAATTGCACATTGCAGTAAGTGCAGTTATATTATATTTATATTCTACAAATTTTAAATTCACAATTCCAAAAATCAACCAAGAGATCGTAAAGAATCATCTCCCCTTACCATTAGATCGAATTTCAGATTTTCAAAAGGAGTAAACATTCTTTACCTTATCTATAAACCACATTTAGAAGTACTTTCTATAGAAAATATAGTTCATAATTGCTACTAATTCACATTAGACCGTCATTTATTGACAAGCAAATACAAACGTGCGCTTGTGTTGATAAGGAAACTTTATAAAGTTTAATTCAGGTATGTGTACGCGTGTGCACACATTCTCTTGTAAATAAATTAAATAAGATTATAAATGTTTGATTTATTAGAAATATCGCATAAAATGACATGTCTTGTCGAAGCTAGTAACGCGTTCCTATCTTGCTTATCATTTATAACTTTCTTAATGTTCGTTCTTGTAGTCGTAGAAAAATTGCCAAAATGCCCGGGCTTATTGCGTTTTTAATTTTGTTTATTATCATTCCGTCGCTCGCTTCATTAAGTTATCTGTTTGGGCGCGTTATAGACGGTGACGTCGTGACTATAACCAATTATCCTCATCAGGTATCATTACGGCTTAAACATTTCGATAGTTATCCCTATTTACATGAATGTGGCGGCAGCATTTATAATGAGTGGGTAATCATTACTGCATCCCATTGTGTTTATAAAAGAGAAGCGAATGACCTGATCGTTGTTGCAGGGTCTGATAATAGCGATGGTGGAGATGGTGTAGTATCGCGTGTTGAAAAAATTATATTTCATGAAAATTTTGACGTGCAAACTATGGCTAATGATATAGCCTTGATATTTCTATCAACTCCATTACCAATAAATAATGTCACTATAGCTACTTTACTGTTGGCTTCTGAAGAATTGGCACTTGGTTCCCCAGTTACGGTGATTGGTTGGGGATTTACTTCAGCAAGCGGGAGTACTTCCCGCAAATTACGGAAAGCCGACCTTAAAATTAGTGATCCGGTAGAATGTTCTTCAGCTTACGGTATTGGTAGTATACAGGCAAATATGTTGTGCGCTGGCGTGCTCGGTGGAGGAAAAGATGCATGTAATCACGATTCCGGTGGGCCCTTGGTTAGTGGAAACAAGTTGGCAGGCGTCGTTTCATGGAATCGTGGTTGTGGCAGACCTGGTTATCCCGGTGTTTATGCTAATGTAGCTTATTTACATAATTGGTTGGAGCATAATATTCAAAAAAATAGTTAAAGGGCATATATTTTAACACTGAGGTCAATTCCTATGGCAAACTGCGCAACGTAACGACACGTTACTTTGCATGTGAATAATATATATATATATATCTATATATATATTCAATATATATATATATATACATATATACATATATATATATAATTTTATATGTAATATATAATATATAATTTTGAAATATATAATTTTGAAGCAAGCAATAATTTAATTAGTGTAAAATCTTGGGTAATTTTTGTAAAAGTTATTTAGTGATATATTGTAACATTCCCGAATGATCCCACGGACACGAATTTCGTAGACCCTCAATTAATTCTTACTTTCTTTACCGCTTCCCGTTGTATTTTGTAAATGATTATAAAGATATTATTGTAAGTAAGAGTGTAAAAGAAATAGTTCAGATGTTAAAAATGATGTAGATAGATAATATTGACATCAGCGATAGTAGCAAAAGTAAATATTGTGATATCAAACAAGACTTAAAAGCAAAATAAGAAAGAAAATGAAAGGAGCAGTGGGAAATAGTAGGGAGCGAAAAACAAAAAATCGTACATAGATCTACAAATACATTAAAAAGGAAGAAAAATTAATCTTCAACGTTGGCAAAAAAAAAGTTTATGCTTGTATGAAGATAGTAATTTGTAGTCTATGCTCACACAAAAGTAAAAACAAAAGGAAATTCCAGCCGAAGTTATGTGGAGTAAAACAGAAACGTTTTTTCTGCATTGACCATAAGTCTAAACAGATTCATAGCCAACCATTATGGTAACTTAATTAATGTAGTTTTTTGATCACCCCCTGATTGCAATAATAAAGCGGAGGCTCCTATTGCTAATAGAAGACCACTAATAAATAGCAAAGAAAACAGGAGTAAGATATCTGCCTTGAGGCACCGGGAATGTGAATATCAAACAGTTGAAAAATTCATCATGAGTTCGAAGAAAATTCTAATTTCGTTAATTTAAGGAAAACCAAATCTCAGCTTATTTCTCTACGTGTTGTGCTACGGTCCATGTAGATAATATCCGTTTGAAGACCTTCAGCAAATCCACTAAAATTTTCGGAGAAAAATTTAAGGAGACTCTTAGAAGGCCGCCTTTTATAAGATGCTGTTAATAAGCAGGTATTATTGAATTAATGCCATTTTGCTTAGCGATAATTTTCAAGAACTTGAATAAAGATCCAAAGTCAACAATACGTGTGCACTTATCAATACAACGTTTTTTTTTCGTTTATTTTATATGAAAGTGTAAAACAGTTTTTTAAGACGAAAGAAACACGCAGCTCGACAGCGACGTATCGAAAATTATGGGTAAAATATTATGAAGATCGCTAAAACAAGATTTTAAATCATCAGGGTCTAGAAAGTAAAAATTTAATAACAGGCGCGGGTAAAAAATTGCGAGGATCATTTGTGAAGAAATATTTACAGTACATATTTCAGTATATATCAATACATTGAAACTTTCGAAATACGAACAGAAATATGGAGTTGTAACCAACAGCTGAAATTATCACGTGAGGAGCTAGTAGAACAAAAGGCGACACTGTTATCTGTTTATATAGAATAAAAGTATTTGTATGAAGCAAAAAAAAAAAAGATATTTGGTTTGAAGTTTCACATATTATATATTTTTCAATCGAAAATATCAACCCCACATTTACCTTTTTGTAAAACGCAACTATTTTAGGAACGCATTAGTCATATTGCTTTATCTCTATATTTTTGTGCTTGGAATGCGCAATAAGTCGATCTGGAGTACTTTTGCATGGAACGTACGGAGTGATTCTGGCAAATACTTTGGTAGCAGTTTTGTAAAGATATACTCATATATAGTACATGTGAATCTGAAGTGATCTCTGTCAACAAAATTTTAGTGTTGCCACAAACGAAATTTTATATGCCATAGATTTTCTCCATAAGCTGGTCTTAACCGTCCTCACCTTAATTGCAATAATTTCTCAGCTAAGCTCAAGCTCCGAAGTTAAATGTTCATTTTGAAAATACTTTTTTATTCTTCAAATTTTCCTTGTGTATTCATATTGCTTTAGACATATCTGACTGAGTAATTCAAAATAATGATTGTGCTAAGCCAAAACGAGTTCCAAAAATTAAATGACATACGGCCAAAGTGATAACTAGTAAATTTGTATTAATAATAAAGATAAAAGTACTAAGATTGACGTGAAAATTAAAGAATATTCCAGTTTTCATAAGCTTGTTTTTACTTTACTTCTGTTGAAAGCTTTTTATTTACATCTTCTGTGACGCTGGCAATAGCATCATCCAACCAGTCTTTTAGACTAGCAACAAAGGCATACACCGTCGGAAAGCCAGGTCGACCGCAACCGCGTCCCCATGATACCAAACCAACAAGTTGATTATTTATAATCAAAGGTCCACCGGTATCCCCTTGGCATGCATCTTTGCCACCGTTAACCAAACCAGCACAAATCATACGTTCTGTGATTTCACCTTCCCCGTATGATTGAGTGCATTCCGTTGTACTTACTATTGGTACTTCAACTTCTTTCAAATATCGCGAGGAGGGACCAAATTCTTCACGATAACCCCAACCAGCTACAGAGGCTATTTTGCCACTCCCGGGTCGGTAACTCATTATGGAGACTGGACTTAGTTGATTTTTTTGGAATTCAAAAGAACTGCGGATTATAATAAATCCAATGTCGTAATCGACTGACAGAGACGAGTAGTCAGCATGAAAAAACCATTTTAAAGCCGGATAAAGTATACCATCAAATCCGGTACGATAATTAGATGCCGCTAGAACTATAATATTGTCGCCGTGACCTAAATCAACAAGACATTGAGCAGCCGTTATAACAATTCTCTCCGAATAAATAACACCAGCACATTTGTGCCGATAAGGCTCCTGTGCCTCATGACGATAGCGTAGCGAAACCAAATAAGGATGCTTCGCTATATCTACCTCATCACCTCCTATAATATAAGTTCCAAAGTCAGCTAAAATCCACCTCGCGGTAACAAATAGTTGTAAAAACGAGAAACAAATTTTCACCAGGTACATTTTTTGAAGTATTAATGGCAAAAATAGAAAAGCAACTAATAACTGATTACTCAGTCAATGTAACCTGATGTTTATCCTTGCAGTGGTACAAAATATTCACGTTATCAATAATTGATATCAGTCTTTTAGATTGCTATAAATGCAATTGTTACATGTACAGGTTGATAATTACAACCACCTGAAAACAACAACTTAGAAATGTTAATAGAATTAATATTTCCCATGAGTAGAATGTTCCTAGCTTTTTTTTTTCAACACATTTTGCAATGCATAATTATAATCATTCTCACTAACGATATAAATTATATAAAATTTTAAGTAGGGCATGGTAATCTATTTCATCGGATTGTATGCTCTTAACTTGACTAAGACCAAGAAGGTAATTATATATGAAAAATTTGACTTTTTGGCTTTTCAGGATATTTTTCATTATATTTGCTACCGTTTCTCAGTATTGCTTTTTAGTGTTAGAGTCAGTTGTTTAAAAAAAACTCAACAAAAATTCTAAGCAAAATTGTTCCTTTTACAAATAACTAAACCAAAACAAACAATTATAAATTTGTGAAAGATAAGTAAAACAATTAAACCCTACACCACTTGTGGTAAAAGGTATATTAAGTTAGTGCGGAAACATATAACATATAAGGGCTTAAGATAGACCTGCCATTTGTTATACCGATCGATTAAGAATTATAATCTGAATTGTCTAAGGCTGTCTGTCCGTGTAATTTCTGTCTATGTAAATTTGCTTTCAAGCTTCACTCTATAGAAAATGGTTCAGATCAGTCCACTTTTTCGACCACTCCCCATATATCGCCCTATTTTGAAAAGTTGGTACATGGAAAAGAGTCGTAATTTTGAAAATTTCTCGGCAAAAGTGGTTAAATAATAGTATTTCGGCATTCTAAATTTGAATGAAAGCTTTGAATGGGGCAATTTTTGAAACCCCTCTCATATAACGGACACAAAAATTCATACCACAAAAAGGCCTAATAATAAAAGTAAAGACTGACCGCCTAAGCAGGTTAACGAATTAAAAATGAAGCTATAAAATTAGGTACTAGTAATATGGTGGTAAAAATGTACATAAATATAATATTTGTGGAATGGAGGGTGAGTAAAAAAACAATATTTAAGTTGAGCAGTCGAAAGTATTGACAAAAGTAAATTGTGAATAATCCAAATTTGGATTGACATTAACTTTCTCACTCTTCCTATCCTTCTTTTCAAGCACTTGGAACTTGAAGGAAACTAACAAAAACAAACGACACGATAATTTCCAACTGACTGACAGTAATATCAGAATTTTATTAGGCATTTATACAATATTTAAATAATTTTTCCCTTGGGAAATAAATTAATTATACCTACATTACATAATATATACGTAACCGTTTTTTATTTAGTAAGGAAAACATATACAATGTTAAAAACCTATTTACAAACCGACATAATTACTTAAGTTACAGACAATTGCTAACCTATGCACTAAGTTCGCTTGTTATTTTTGTAAGTACAGTAAAAGCTCCTTATTCGCGGTTTCACTATTCGCGGATTAACAAAATGCGACATAATTCCCATATTCGCGACTATAAATTTCTTTATTCGCAGATTTTTTGTGAATTGTTTTGTTTCTGAAGCTGAAACTTATTTAAAAAAGCAGAATTTAGACTTTAAAGCACTTCTAGTTTTGAACAATGCACCAGGTCATCCTCGCGAAGTTGAAACTATGCAAACAAACCAAAGTGACATTTTTACCTCCCAACACGACGGCTTTGCTTCAAACTATGGGCCAAGGAATAATATGGAATGTAATCCTGACATGAATGTTATGAAATGCAGGAAGAAATTTGACGTAGCAAAATACATCGTAGACATAAAAAAATCATTGGAAGAACTGAAGCCACACACATTAAAGTCATGCTAGAAAAAACTGTGGCCTGCTTTGACTGCGGAAAATGACGAAGAATCTGTCCAAGTTCAAACTTTGACTGCAAACATAGCCGAAATCGCGAATGGAATAGGACGAAATGGGTTCGAACAGATAGATTCAAGTGACATTCAGGAATTGCTTGAATCGCAAGATGAATATTTGACTGAAGCCGACTTGGAGGAAATGTTAAATTCACCGCCCATTGAAGAAGACGCTTCAACAAGCACTGGAAACGTGACATTTAATTTGAAAAGTCTTAGTGACGATTTAAGATTGGCAAATGAGCTTGGCGATTTCTTTATGAACATTGATCCGTCTATGGAACGAAGTCTTATTTTTGAGAGGAAAATTGCTAATGCGACTGCTGCGTATTAGTCTGAATTGAAGGAGCTTTTAAAAACTGCCAAGCAAAAGAAACTTACGAAATTCTTCAAACCATTGCCTAAGCCTTAAGATAATTAATCAAAATGTTCAAAAACTTCAATTAAATTGATTTTTTTATATATTTGATTTTTTTTATTTTATCACCTAGGAACGTATCCCCTATAATCTCATATAAATTACCATTCCATATTCAGAAGCGAATAAGAAGCTTTTACTGTATACTGTTTTTGCAGGCTCGAACATGCCCATAGGCATCATAATAGTACAGCGTTGATATTGGCAGCTGTAAAAGCAATGCACGGTACAGACTGTTTTTCGTTTCTATTACGGCAGCCAGACAAGCATATATATATATTAGTTTGGGGAAAAAGAAATCCATTATTTTTATATGAACTTCAGGACTTTATTTAACATGCTTCGGATTGTCCGATTTGGGTCAAATATGCACCGTTTTGTTGTACGATTTGTTGCCATTTTAAAGGTAACTTCAAAATGCCTTTCTCATAGACGTCCTGGTCTCTATTTGAAAAAACTCTAGTAGTCGATTTTCACAATCCTCCCTAGATTCCAATTTTTTATCATTAAAGAAATTTTGCAATGCAAGAAAAAGATGATAATCGCTTGGTGCCAAGTCCGGACTGTATGGCGGATGCATTAAAACTTCCCAACCAAGCTCCCGAAGTTTCTGGCGAGTCACTGTAGATGTGTGTGGCCTAGCGTTGTCCTGGTGGAACACGACAACTCTCCTGTTGGCCAATTCTGACCGTTTCTGGTCAATCGCTATATTCAAACGGTCCAGTTGTTGACAGTAGAGATCAGAATTTAGCGTTTGGCCATATGGAAGCAACTCATAATAAATAATCCCCTTCCAGTCCCACCAAATGCATAGCAAAACCTTCCTGGCCGTTTGAGGTGCTTCACCGCTCTTTGACCACGATCGTTTTCGCACAGGGTTATCGTATGTGATCCATTTCTCATCTCCAGTCACCATCCGTTTAAGAAATGGGTCTATCTCATTCCGTTTGACCAAGGCTTCGCAGATGGAAATTCGATCCATCATGTTTTTTTCTGTTAATTGGTGTGGCACCCAAACATCGAGCTTCTTTTTGAATCCAGCTTTGTGTAAATGGTTTAAAACTGTTTTATGGTCGATTTTTAGCTCCTGGGCAATGTTACGACTGCTAACATGCCGGTCAACTTCGATCATTTCTCCGATTTTATCGACATTTTCGATGACCGGCCTACCTGTGCGAGGTGCATCTTTAACATCAAAAATTCCTGAGCGGAATCTACGAAACCAAAATTGCACATAATTGGCTGTTACAGTATCGGAACCATAAACACCATTCACAATTTTAGCCGCCTGGCTTGCATTTTCGCCTTTGTCAAAGAAAAACTTTAAAATGTACCGAATTTTCTCTTTGTTCACTTCCATTTTTAACACGCTGTAACTCACAACTGAATGCACCAAACAAAAAACAGCAAAAGAATTTTTTTTACTGCGAAATGTCACCTTTCCAACGAGCATAAATCTGAAATTGTTTGTCGTCCCTCGTTTTGGCCTTACAGGTTCTCCGTGCCCTTCCCCCTAACCTGTGTTAGGGTAAGTTAGGATTAGGTAAAGAGGAATTATAATAGTTAGCCTAAGCCGAGGTTAAATCGAGTTTAGTTAAGTTAGAATAAAGGAAGTAAAAAACTTGGTCGCGAAGTGAGCGAAAGAGTGGACGTGCTTGGATACAGTATCATATAAAATGTAAAAGAAGAATGTTGTCCTAAGAAAGCAATACATAAAAGAAATTTAAAATACAAAATGTAAAAGAAGTATATTGTCCTAAGAAAACAATACCTTGAGAAATGTAAAATATAAGATGTTAAAAAAAAAAGGTTTTCCTAAGAAAAGCCATAGTGTGAAAAGAAGTATAAAATATAAGGTGTAAAGAAGAAACCCTGAAATCTATTTCTCTAAGAAGAATACTTTGAAGAAATTTCTTGTGAGCAAAATCCTGGAGTCGCTGAGCTACCCTAGCACCAGGTTTTGGGCAAAATTAGTCCCCACAATACATATGATACGTATATAGAAACTGTTTGATGCATAAAAATTAAATTATATCTAAAGACATATAAACAGTGCGTTCAAGTGACATTTATAATATATTGCACATAATAAAAAACACTTAAGTATAGCTTAGTTAAAAATTGGTCGTAATCTCCAACTACGCCAAATTGAACAATAATTTGGAATACGGACAGCTCAAAGAAAAACAACCATCTGATAAAGAATACAAATTTTATTGAATAATAAAAATTAAAATTAAGTTAAATCAAAATAGAATTATACAGCTAATTGCATATAACCGTTTTCGCTATCTAGCGATGATTATTTCGGCCAGATTTACATATATGCGCCAATTGAAATATGTCAAAAAACGCAACATAAGCAAAATTTGAAACTAAAGAATCGCTAAAAATCGGCATAAATGGCGACACACTTCATATATATGGTTTTGCATTTTTTCAAACCATCGATCTTATTGTGTATTGTCAGTAACACTATGTAACTAAAAAACCGCAAAATCTACATGCATAAATAAAAGAATGAAGTTCTACAGAAGTGCGTTGAACTTAACACAATATGGATTGAAAATGTAATTAAAATATAAAAAAAGCTTAATTGTAATAAAACATGAATCAAACAATATAAAAATAAAATTAGTATAAAAACTAAGGATGTATGCAATATGC